TGTCTTCCACACAAGCAAAAACATTTATATTTCGTTAGAAGAAAATGCATGACAGTGGAATTTATGTAATGACCGTGTACAAATAAGCATGCCCAGAAAACAGTTAGAGGGAAGAAAAGTACCTGTATGAAACCTAATGGGTAAATTAGGAAATTTTAGTTACAGGAATTCAGTTGCTACTTAGTGCTTGTAGAGAAGCACAAAGAGAACATCAAAATGCCTGATCACATCCCATCTGTTACAACCTCTTACTGGATAACATCTTGACTGCCAAAAAAGCTATTTAAATTTACTACATTGCAGCTACTGATAAATATCACTTCTGTGAAGGTCTAATACTAAATAAGGACACGATCAGAGGATAAACCTTACAAGAAGCAGTGTCAAAAAGGATCCAAATTTTGCTTAGTGTAACACCTGTACTCTTAAGAGCACGCAGTTTCTTACTCCTTGTCCCCGGCTGTGAGATGTTTCTAACAGAGCACACAACTGTACAACACTCCTCAAAAGCTGGATGTCAACAACGGAGTGAAGTAAAGGTAGAACAGAGAGAATGACACAAAAAAGAAAAAAATGAAGAAGTACTAGGAGAAGGTGATAGAGAAGGCGGCAACTTCTATTCAACAATTTTGGAGGTGATTACTCCAGGCACTGTCCACATAGATCTGACAGGCACAGAACGCTGCCATGAAACTGCCTCCAGCAATGGAATACATTTTCCAGCACATCACAGCAGCTGCAACTGCATCAATTCTGCTTGCAATCCATGTCCAAAAAGAAAAGTTCTCAGTGGTCCTATTTCAGCATATCTCAAGGACTAATTAAATCCTCATTACTATCTTCTAATTATTCCAGTGCTCTGGGATTTCACTCCGCAAGTCCCCAATGGTGCATTAGATGAAAAGGGTTAAATAACCTGTGTTGATTTTGAGACTCCAGATCTATTTCAGACCTTTAGCATATCATCAGCATTATCATGAATATTTAACTATGTACCGCTGTGAAAATTATAAGGGGAAAACAATTAAAGATTTTTTAAAAATTAATTCTGACCCATATACATTTGCACTAATAAATAAGGCTTCTTTAAGTATCCCCATTATGAGAGTGCTTGCTAGAGTAATAATGTGAAGTCATTAACTGTTTTCATTAAATTCAATGGTTTTCAGGAGCTCCCAATTCACTATTTTAATATAAGACTGAAACCTGACATCTCCATACCCAACTGCATAAGCATGAAAATACTATTTAAAAGCAGGTAAGTTTTCTAAGCTTTTTTCAGAATTATGTAAAAAATCATTAATTCCTGCAGGGGTAAAAGCGCCTATTTCAACATTATTATGACAAATACTCTCCTATGCACAGTGCTTGCACAGGTGACTGTTCATAAAAGCAGACAGAAATCTTCATTAGTTTACAAAAGTAACAACAGGAGTATAAGATAATGGCCAAGTTTCTTTTTCAGGCTGCAGATTCAGAAAACTAATTTAGAGGGTCATTTGGGGTGTGCTGGGCTTCTATATGATCCCTAGAAATAGCTTCTAACTCCTTGAGCTCGTAGTACTGGCTACTAAGGACATCCTCAAAGCACAGCTTCTGAAACCCAAACAAATAAGTAGATAGAGCTGAACATAGGGAACTCAAGTCACTGTGCACCTCAAGTATTTGCTGAATGGTTATGACAGCTGAGGTATTACTGCTGCCCTACCTCTGGGGCTGATGCAAAAAAAGTTGATATAGAACTTTGACTTCAATAAACACAAACTATCAAGCCCCTACTTTTGATCATATAAATGAAAGTCTGGAGTAGGTCTATTATAAAGGGAGAGCACAATGTGCATCCTCCTTACTCCCAAAAACATAGCAAGTTTCGATGACTACCTCAAGTAGTCATGGCTACACTGTCACTATGGTAGCCTTAAGTAATGGTAACTGCTGGGATTCAGCAGCAGTTAAACACACTCCTGCTTCTTCAAGAGACTTCTGACACCAGTCTGTCTCCACAGCTGTCCAGCTCCAACAGTTCTTTAAGATGTATGGGACTTGACTGCAAGTCCCACTGCTTTCCAAGTCACGTCAGCTAAGAAATAGGTTATGTACATAAAGTAAGTGCAATTTCTTGTTTCTTAGGTAGACAATGTGTGTTGGTAGAACTAAAACCATTTCACTCATTGGGCATCAATCAACAGTGACCAGCTAAGGGACAAGGGTTAAGGGACAAGAATGGAGGTGCCTAGAATAGCAGGCTACATTTACACTGATCAGGTTGAAATGCCCTACAGTTTGAGCAGGACATGAAAAAATCAAAAATTATTTTTTAAAAGTGAGCATTTTAATGTTTATTACAAAAAGTATGAAATAAGTTATATAAAAAGAAACCTGAGGAACACAAAAAATATCCAAGACCCAGGAAACTCCTATTACTGTATATATGCACTACATTAGTATGCCCCTACTTTCACACACAGAATGTACATGTAAAAAAGTGGTCATTGCTTCATGCTGCATTGTGACACAGGGGATGTAGAGTTTTAGGCAGGCAAACATAAAAATCCCAGAAAGGTGCTGAGTAACTATGGAAAGCACGGTAAAATATAACCAAACACTTTAACAAAAAAATAAATATGTGTAAACTTAATGGTTCAAGGTAGGGGTTTAGCATCCAAAATTACTACAGCTCAGACTCCACCCATTGGTCATTCTTCATGACAGCTGATAAATAACATTTTTTTCAAGCATTGAGAATGGAGGATTCTGCTCAAGCAATAATTAGTAGTCTTTTGGTCATCCAATTCTCTCTCTAAACAAGGAAAGAAATGCTATACAGAGTGTGAAAACAAACAGTATTACCTTATCCTATGGAGTGTCTCTGGGGTTTTTGTTTTCATTTTCCTTTAATTTTTTTTTTTCTCTTTTTTTGGAGAAAGTGTATCAGTAACCTGAGAGTTTAAATTACTGTAACAGATGCCCAAGGATCAGGTGTCCTTAGCAGCAACGATTTTCTGCTCAGGTTTTTATCAGTAAATGACAAGCACCTTCCCTTTGAGTCCCCATCATTCCCCCTCCTTCCTTTCTTCAAGTTCTGTGGAAACCAGTTCAAGCAAGCAAAGGAATCAACTAATGTAACAGCCTTTTTAAAAGGTGAAGTTTTCCATTTCAAAGGAGCCTCTAATCAATGACAGGGCACAAAAGGGAATGCACGCATGTTTATGCGTGTACAGCACAGACTTTAGAGAAGCTTTAGGGAACATGTTCTGCAAAATCAATATGACCTAGCTAGTTACAAATTTTGAATCTCCTGCATGAAACAAATGGACTTCTTGTACAAGCCTATTCACAAGGATCACGCACATTAGACCAGATTTTGCATATGAAGTGTGCAAAACCTGCAACATTTCTAAATGCATTTTCTCAAAGAACATACCTACAACTCTCACTGCGGAGAGGAAAAAAACCTGAAATCAATCTGTAAATTTTACTTCCCTCACTGTTACTTACTTGTGTGACTTCTCAATTATGGCAGCTTCTGTTTTACTTCTGAATACCTGTCTGCCTCTCCTGACTATACACTGAACCCCAACTTTCTTCTACAGCAGAATGGAGAGGTTCGATGCTTCCATCTCTATCAGACCTGTGTAACTTGACCCCAAAGCCACGTGAGGAACACACACTGCAGAAATAATTATTATTGGGCACTATAACATTTTATGCCAAGACCCAGTTGTGCCAGGAAATGCACACATCTTTCTGAGATGTCTGGGTCTTCAAAGCCTCCATCTGATCCATTCCTGCTATCTTGTGACATTTCTATCCCACAAAGCATCATATATTTGTATTGGGTTCTGAGGCCACTCTTTTTTTCTCCAAACATGTACGTTACTCTGAATTTTTTTTTAATGGGAAAATATGTCCCTGAACTAACAACTGAGTATGAAGAACGACTGAAAAGGAAACAAAACAAATGAGCACGAAATTCTGTATTTCATGTTCTCATTAATCAGCATTCCTGGAGGAGGAGACATTCAACCCAGAAAAATAGCAAAAATTAAGACTCTCTGCTCTTCTTTGTGAGTCCTCTTAGCTCCTCCTGGATTCTATCCCAGAAATTTGTCATTCTGTGAGTTCAACTTGTTTCACTGTGAGAAAACTTCTAGTATTTATGGTATCCCCATATGGTGCTACTTGGGATATTTCTGGAAGCAAGACATTTTAGGAGGGGCATTTCATAAATAACTCCATGTTTATCACAGTTATCATGTGTCTGTTTTGCAAGCCTGTCACTGGCACATGTTAACCACTGCATGGACAGGATGCCCAGTTTACAGCAATTGATCGCACGTATGGCCACACAACAAAGCTGTGACAACTATCTCCCATGAGCTAGGGAGAAAAGAGGTGAAAGGAAAAAGGGCTTAAAGTTTATAAAAGGTAACTTTAATTAAAAATGCTCTGCTTATTTTTGTGAGCATGGTAAGGGAGCACAATGCTCTTGCCTGCAAGGTTTTCCATAGCAAGATTTCCAAATGTTTGAACCATTTGACCTAAATATTTGATTTCCCTTTATATTTAAAGATATTTTTATCCTAGAACTGGCTAAAGGACTATCGTGTCCAGGCAAATATATTAGAGATGACAATTTTAAGAACAGTAGCAAAACTGCTTCTAGTTAGCACTCTTTCTCTACGTCTTAATTCCAAGATGGACAACAAAGAGCTGTATTCTCCAGGACGCGACTCAAGTATTTACAGAAACTGCCTTTATACCCTGGGCATTCACTGTATTTTGAGAAATCCTTGTTTTCAATTATAGTTTGGTAAAACCTGCTATTCAGTTGCTCTTTCCCCAGAGATGGAAACCCCCCAAGCCCTTTACAACGAAGACTGTTGTTATTTTCCCTGGGAAAAGAAAAGAAATACCAGGAAATCCCACATTACTAATGTGCAACTTAAAATGAAGGCTGCATTTGGCACCAGCTGAAAAAGCCCCAGCACCTAACAAACCTCGGTCCTGTGGCATTGGTGACTGGCTCAAGGCAGGGTGGGAGCTGGATTCTGACTGGCTGCCAGGAGGCTGCGGTGGCATCTGACTGCCTGTAAGACACAGAGAGAAAAGGAAAAACACACTTGCTTTTAGCATTTCAGTACACAAAACCAAGCACTGATGCATTTTTCAACTACTCAACATTAAAGAAAGTACCAGCTGTAAAAGGTAAAGACAGAGCTCAACAGGTTCAGCTTTTTTCATACATTTTTCTTTTTTTTTCCTTTTGTTTTTTGAAACCCATGGAGGAAACATGCACAAACACATTTAGCAACAGGCATAGCGAAATGTTCAATTTCGCACTGAGCGAGTTCCCAACCTCACCAACATGATCCAATTTATAGCTGCAAATCTCCTGACACATATTTCTGTTAGGGAGTTTAACAAAATCCAAGTCTGCTGAACAATAGGGCTCATCCTGCCTAGCTTAAACTGGCCTCCAGCCAGGCAGACATGGACTGCTGCCAACAATATTACCAACGAAAAATTCGGTCAATACAAAAATGACTAACAACAACAGTTTATAAAGTATTTCAATGAATCAGTGGTTTTAATATTGTTTGAATGTCCATGTAGAATATGGGAATGAAGAGTAACATGTAGGCACACGTGGTGAAAGTGAATGTTTGAAAGAGATCAGACAGAAAGGGGTTATCTTATTATTCAAATAAAAGCAAAGGGAAGTTATTTATTAAAATAACTAGCCAGAACAGACACATCCATTTTTTATGACCTTGTTCAAAAGACATGCACTGCTGTCTACCCACCCAAACAAGCAGAGCACTCCCAGCACTGTCTGCGAGGCTCAGAACACAAAATGTTCCCTTTCAGTGTTAATGGATAATAAGGCAGATGCTTATTGCACTGATGCAAGTCACTCCTCTGGATCACCATTCAACAGTGTCAGGCAGAGAGGTCCATCTTACCACCCTCCCAATGCCCCAGGGGCCTCGAGCTTAAGAGCCAACCTGCCCCAGCCCGAGCAGGAGGAAGAATGAGACCTGGACATCCCCTAGGACTCCTCTTTGCTCTTGGTCTGAGACACGCCTGCTTGTGACAGCCCAGGAGGCTTGAAGACCACCTCAGGTTAGGCAGCAAATATGTACTTTAAGCATTTAGACACTTGTAGTGACGAGCACGGTATAAATAGCAGCAGACAGATTTATATCCCTCATCCTCAGAAACTGTTCAGATTGTTTTCCATTTGAAAGAAATAGATAGAATAAAAACACAGGCAATAGATTTGTGCCTGCTGAGACTTATTTCCTCCTGCTCAGCAGCTGCCCCTCTGCAGTGGCAGGAGCAAGAATCCTGTGGATGGTTCTGGCATTGGGAGCTGGACTGACAGCAGGGCAGCAGGGGCTGCCCTTTAGAGCCACCAAGGGCCCCAAGTTGCATATAAATGCAGGAAAGAAAATGTGTCTGCTCTGCCCCATCCACTTCCCTCCCCAAAGCTACCAGCTCTCAGCACCAACTCTGAAGAAAGGCCAGACTGATACAGAACAAAGAGAAAATCTGTAAAATGTGGAGTGTAACCACTGCCTAGCTATTCAGATGAGGTGCTTCTGCACTAAAAACATGACAGTCAACATTACCGGGAGCAGCTGTGACAACTGTCTCAGAGATGCAAATGCTGGACCAGAGGCAGAATTGTTCCTCCAAAAGACCAAACATGCCACTCAGCGCCCAAGGCTTTGGGTTCCACGGCCCATTCACGAACTCTGAGGCATATGACAATAATAATGACAAATTCCAGCTTATGTTTTGATGTCACTCAAGAGCAGGCTGTGGAGATGGTAAGTGCTGCATTATAATGAAAGCTTTCGGCTTGACAGGAAGGATTCAGTGACTCAAGACTGTAAACAAACAGCATTTCCATGTTAACACAGGGCACTGCCACTTCCACTGTGTATGCCCCAGGCACTGCTATCAGAGAGAGCACTTCAAGTAGATAGGAACCATCTAAGATTTCTACAAACACTTTAAAAATAATAATAATAAAGCAGGGGTGGTTCTAACTGCGCTGCATAGCTCTCAGCAGGATCCTCCTTTAGGTGGATGCTCGGCAACTTTGAGAGAAGCTATAGTGCAGAGAATATCTATGATAGGCAGCATATTTTGCATATTATAGATGGTGTCTGGGTTGTTACAATGATAGTAGTATCAGTTATCTGGCTGGAGCCTTATCCTGCACAGGTAAATGTTCAATCACAGACTGGGAAAGTCAAGGTGTAGAACAGTACCTGTGTAACTTCACAAAGAAATCAGTTTCATCCACATCCTCAGTTAATACAGACTCTGGAGTTTTGCAGATTCACTGGAATTATCAGTCTCTGCAAACATTAATGTTATTCCACTGTACTGAAATGCTATTCAGTGTACTTCTGATTTTTTTTTCTTACTAAACAAACTGCAAAGCAAATTTTTGTTTCACAAAGAAAATTGATTTCATAAACATGACCAACTCTGCACAAATTCTAACAAGTAACAAACTTTCAAGAGAAGTACTCAGTACACTAATTATCAGAGGGTGCTACAGATCATCCAGGTGCTGGACATGAAGGGACTGCATCAAAATGTTTTCAATCGAGCTGCCGTTTTATTCTTAGAAGTGATGTGAAAGGTAAAAGGAGGTTAAGCGCCCAAATACCTTTGAAGACTTGAACTGAACTCCTAATTTGGGTATCTAACTCCTATTGATTGGGAGCTGATGACAGGACTTTAAAACCTTTGAAGATCCTGTCTGCCATGCTTTTAAAGTTTCTTTGTCATGAAAAGAAATGACCTTAAAGATTTTCCATTTCTTTCCTTTAAATGATAGTAATCCTTTTCTCTTTCAACCAGTATTGCAGTTGTGTTTCTTGGAAGACACTTTAAATAATACATGAACAGACTTTTCTATTTTATTAGGGAAGGAAAACTTCTACAAAAGAAAAATAACCCTTTTTCATTTTTAACATAACTTCCACAGGTATTTAAGAGAGAAAAAAAAATCCAGGATGTTTTTTTCACTGACAGACTACCGCCTCCTTTGACCCAGTGATACACAGAATTAAGTTTAAACAGGGATGACTTTTTCCCATGTTTTTATACTCTTGTTGCCACATTGGTGAGGTACTCTACCTGCCAAAATGTATGCAAAGTGAATACTACAGATGTTTCACAATACTACTATTATGCAAAACCATAGAAAATGCAATAATGCATGTTAAAGGGATAGAAGTTGCCATGCCAGTTCTTTCCCTTGTATTTAACAGAGAAGCAAAATACTATTCAAATTTATATAGCTATCTAGTAAAATTAGTTGTTAAAACTACTGAAACAAGCAGTCCACTTAATATAGTATCTGCTATTTAAAATTAAAAAAAAAGTCAGATGAAGAGGTAAGGGAATTAAAAAATGCATAATACTATATTTGTAAGCAGGTTTTCCACTTTTTAAATTATGTCAAATGCTTTTACATTTTTTTCATTTTGAAAATCTTCACTTCAAATGGAGTCAGGAGACAGTGCATCCTACGGTTAGCAAGGATGGACTGCAAAAAGTGCTAAATAGTGACTACATTATGGCTAATAATGCAGTTAAACTGTAAAAAGTAAATTCCTTAGGGCAAACATAGCAAGAAAAAGCAGACCTTTGACATTCTGCGGAGGAAGGGTCCTTACAGTCTGTATCAACAATGTTTTGAAACATGCTGAGGGCGCTCTGCTCCCATCACTGTAATGATACTGGAGGATGCTTGGCTGTGACACCCTGTACCAGCTGGACGGTGCCTCACAGAATTATGCCTGAACAACTGAGTCAAGAAAACACTTCGGTGATAACAGGTTCCCTCTGGGAAATAACCAGTTAAGTAGGGAAGGAGGGGTATAAGCACGGGAATTTTAAGATGCATGAGGAACTGGAGGTTGGGGGACTGATCACAGCCTGTGCTGGAAACAGAACACTAGGCTGAAGGAAAGACAGAAGTTACAGACCTTGTGGGTTGTTTTTGGGACAATTCCCAATCTAATTTAGGAATTGAGAGCTATGACTGGATTAAAGACATTATTGATTACAAAGTGGGGAATATTAATCAATACAAAAGATGATCAATATACTACCTAGGAAACCCTTGGGACCACCTTTTGGCTTGGAGTATTAAAAATGCAAACATTTATATACATGGATCAGAACCAGGCCTTTCATAACCGAAGAACTGTAGGTTATCAGGTAGACATGGGAAGAGAAAAGGAAGGAAAAATCTGACCATATCTGTTGACCTGAAATGGTTATAGCCTACAAACAGCTATAACCAGCTATGCCATGTGGCACGCAAAGAAACAAATTTATCCCTAGGATAAATTAGGAGGATTGTTTACAGTAGAGGTAAGACAACACAACATCACTGCTGATGTGTCACTGGTGAACCTTCATAGAGACAAACCCAGAAAGCCTAATGCAAACTGGAATGGGAACCAGCTACCAGCATGAAATGACAGGAGGCTGAAAGTGTGAGTATTATTTAGTATGATAAAAACTAGAACTGGAATTTTGTGGATTCTTTCTAAAAATAATTTGAGGCTAAATATCAGGGAAGAAAAAGAGCATGATGATGTTCAGGAGGATAATCATACCATTACTGGAACTCGAAACAACTTTGTTTTAGGAATAATGAGGTCCTGAAAATCTAGTGATTAAGATGAAATCTGATAAAATAATAGGATAATCATCACACAGTCAATGCTACAATAAAGGCTCACAGACCAGAAGAGACATTCCTGGTCTCCAATCCCTAAATCAGAAATGAAGGAACATAAGTAGGCTTCTGTATGGGTGTGTTTCAAATGAGCTTTTCAGGAAATTGGAAGTGAGGTGCAAATGACCTCAAAGGAAAGAAATTTTTCTATGGGTAGCATAAAGGGAAACTGGTCATGTGTTTTGTGTTATCTCTTTCATCTCATAAAGCCTACAACCCCTTAAGAATAAAGATTATTTTCTTCCTTAATTTATGCATTGTAGCCAAGCTTCCTGTTGTATCAACAGTGTTTTTTAAATTACCTATTCACTC